TTTCCCATAATTTTTTCTTGTATTATAAAAAAGATAATTTTTCCTTATTTTCTCCAATAGTTAGATAGAAAGACTTCTTAGTTTTTTGAATAGAAAGACTTCTTACTTTTTTAAAATAGCATCAAGTTCGATTTTGAGCAATTCAAAACATATCCAATTAATCAATTGAAATAAAATTATTCTTCTTTAACCTCTGTCGAATAATCATTCTATTAATTTTGTTTCAATTAAAGCAAACACTACCATAAAGTAAAAATAAATAAATTAAAAAAAATGTGCAAGTGGCATGGGCCTAATTAACTAGTATACATATTCTAATATAAAAAGTAAAGATCGTTGGTGGTGTTGACATTTTTTGTCTCATATTTTGAGTTTTTTCAAAATATTCCTATATTTGGAGTTTTTTCAAAATTTATGCAAAGCAATGAGACTTGAACTTATGTCCATAAGTTTATTTAATAATGAAAACCTTACCACTTAAGCATCATCATAAGCAATATATGTAATTTTTTTTTTTTGTGGTCATTATTCTTATAATCTTATTTATTTTCGAATTGCACATGTATTGAGTGCATAGACCGCTAGCATACCTATACTAATAAGTGGCACTTGCTATTTAGCATAGGTTGCTTTTTATCTTCCACAAGCACCCCGTCTTTGTAGAATCCGGATCCTTGCCCACACAAGCCTGCGGTCATCCCTGCAGCACTCCCAAAATGATGTCGTTTTGGGAGAAATTTCAATTTAAAAAAAAAATAAGCAGAGCAAAAACTAGAGGGGAGGGGAAGACGAGAGAGAGGAAGGGAGAAAAAGGAAGAGGGCTAAATAATTTTTCTGGTGGTTTTTTTTTTTTTCTTCTGAGCTGTAGACCATATTATACAGAGGAAAATATGCTCCACACAAGTATTGCGATATTTACATAATCTTTCGCACGTGTGAAGCACTTCACAGCTCACATATAGGCCTATAAAGAATCAACCATACAACAAACTAAACCTTAGGTCATCCCTGTGAGTGAGACAAACCATTTTCCATAGAAATGGAGGGTGTCAAAACCAAGCCCCTTCTTCACACACTTAGGTTCTCCCCTCTCATTGCCCCGAACCGTGTTTTCGCGGTAGTATACACGTGTGCCATTTTGGCTCTCCTCTATCACCATGCAATCACTGTCTTCCACTCCACCACCTTACTCTCCTTCTCCATCTCCATCACCTTATTAATTTCCGATGTAATTCTAGGGTTCATGTGGGCTGCCAAGCAGTCTTTTCGCATGAATCCGGTCCATCGCCAAGTTTTCCCGGAAAATCTTGAGAAAATCATGAAAGAAAATGATTTTCAAGCTTTGGACATATTTATATGCACTGCAGATCCGTATAAAGAGCCACCGATGAGTGTCGTGAACACGGCCTTATCGGTCATGGCTTATGATTACCCGACTGAGAAGCTTTCGGTCTATGTATCGGACGATGGAGGCTCTGCCATGACTCTCTTTGCTTTCATGGAAGCTGCTAAGTTTGGAAGCCACTGGTTACCCTTTTGCAGGAGGAACAAGTTAGTAGAGAGATGCCCCGATGCGTATTTTAGATCAAACCATCATCAGAACTCTGAGGTTGAACAAATTAAGGTAATTTTAGTACTAATAATATTAGTTGATTTAATTTTTCTTAGTGTTTCTATATCATCTCAATCTTGTTTGATAAGGTTGCTGAACATGGTCAAAATTCAAAATCAACGGCTTAAAATATCGGGGTCATTATAAATTTTTTGATATCTCCTGAATCATTTTTTAATTTCAAACTAAGATTTATTGATATTGGTCTTTAAAAACTATTAATTATAAAATAAAAATATCCGTTGATCTTTTTCATATATATATATAAATATTTATGTCTAAATAAGTACAAATATTTTATAATTCTTCTAAAAATGTCACTATTGTATTATTTTGAATTAATTTTATATATGAAATTTTTTTGTCTGAGCCATTTTTTTTTTGTTTGATATATTTTTATTGAAATCTAGTCTTAGCCTTGGTTTGGCTGGGCTAAAAAAAAAGCACAAAAGACAAAGGCTTTTTTTTTTTTTTTTTTTGGGAACAAAACAAAGGCTTCATTTGGGAAGTTAAGTTTGGGACTTTTTTAGCTATTTTAGTCACAAAAAATAAAGGCTTTTTTGTCCAATAAGATAAAATATCACATTCAACCTATAATCATTACATTCTTTCTCTCACAAAAAAATTAAAAAAGCCAAAAGTCCTTCCCAATTAGGCTTTTTAGCCCCAAGTTAAAATAGTCCAAAAAAGTCAAAAAAATCAAAGCCCTTTCCAATAAAGCTTTTTAGCTCCAAGCTAAAATTGTCAAAAAAAAGTTAAAAAGCCAACTCACTTCCCAAACAAACCCAAAATAGGTTAAATAAGCCAATAAACTAAAATATCACATCTAAATTATAATCATTTCACTTTTTCTCTCACAAAAGTCAAAAGAATCAAAAAAAATCAAATCAAACGGATTTTTTAGTTGTAAGATATTATTGGAGAAATTTTTTTTTGTGTTTGGAAAGATAGTTGGATTTTTTTGTGGTTGGATGTGATGTTTGTGAGAGAAAAAGTGAAATGATTATAAGGTTTGATGTGATATTTTATTTGAATTTATTTTTTTTATTTTTAACTAATTTGTCTTTTAGTGAAAATAATCATTTCACTTTTTCTCTCACAAAAGTCAAAAGAATCAAAAAAAATCAAATCAAACGAATTTTTTAATCCTAAGCTAAAAAATTTATAATTCAAAAAAATCAACTAAAAAAAGTCAATGTGAACCGAGGGCTTAACTAATGCCAACTTGGTGGGGCAACCTATAAAGTCATCTTGTAAGACCATCTCCAACGCTTCAGTAAACCTGATATCAAATTCAAAATTTGGTGAAAAAGTCACTTTTTTGAGCTCCAATGGTTTCACCAAATCAATATCAAATCTAGAATTCAGCAAATCTTGTACCAAAACGAGAACAGGCGAAGCATTTTACCAAATCACTGTTCCTAACCGTTGGGAGAGACCAACCGGTCAACCAGCCGGTTGCCCGGCCGGTTGACCAACCGGTTGACCGCCTAAAGGTTCAAACGGTTCGAAGAAAAAGGTTCAAACAGTAATAAAAAAAAATAAAAAAAAAAAATTTGCCTAACCGGTCGACCACTAAAAGGTTCAAAAAGTTCAAAAAAAAAAAAAAAAATTTTTCCCTTTAAAAATTCAATGATTATAAATTATGCAATAAAAAGTCCACTTGCTTTCCTTGACCATCGGTTGTCCCTGGCACAAATTTGATGAAAGTACACCGTTGGAGCGAGCGGTATCAAATTGGTAAAATGAGTCATTTTTTACTCAAATTTGATGAAAAATCTGAGTAACCGTTGGAGATGCTCTAAGCTTCTATGTTTGATGCGAATTTGTTACTTCACTTTGTATTTTTAATTATAATTTTGAAGCAGTTTGGTACCTTGCCGATAATTCCTCTAATGGAGGAGAGAGAGAGAAATATATTAACTATTTATAGTAGGTTTTCTTTGTAGGTTTTTTTAGTTGTAAGATATTATTGGAGAAATTTTTTTTTGTGTTTGGAAAGATAGTTGGGTTTTTTTGTGGTTGGATGTGATGTTCCCTGTACTCTGTTTTACTGTACTACTGTTCTGCAGGCCTGTGGTAATCTCGGATTACTGGCCGGTTACGGTGCTAAACCCATAGGGCCGGGTTTGGGTCGTGACACTGATTTAGTGGAAAAAGTTCCATTGGGGGAGTGCTTCTAACTTAAAAGGTCAAGATTTCCATCATCCATTCAAACCATAACGGCACGCAAAGTATCTAAGTCTTCACTAGGGAGCCAACAAGCCAATCTGTTCCAATCCCAACCAGTTCCTTCAAGCCAATAGTCACAAATTTTGAGCAAAAGTTCAGGTGCTAGGAGGGGAGAAAGAACACGCTGTTGAAGAAGGGAGTCACCCAACCACAAGTCTGTCCAAAAATGTATCAAACGGCCATTGCCCACACGCCAGCGAGATCCATCCCTTATCATAGAAGCTCCCTTGGTGATACTATGCCATGTGTAAGATGAGTTGGTGGGGCAAGGATCCCACAACTTTCTCCTGTCTGGAAGATATTTACTGCGAAGAGCACTAGCCCAAGGTGCGGATTCGTGTAACACACGCCAACCCAACTTGGCCAAGAAGGCATTATTGACATCCCTCATCTTGCGAAGACCCAAACCTCCATCTCCTTTAGGCTGACACACATTCTCCCAAGCCACAAGAGACATGTGCTGCTGCACTTGATCACCACCCCAAAGAAATCGACGGTGACATTTGTCAATAGTTGAGCACACTGAACCAGGAAGATGTGTAGATTGCATAGCATAGGCAGGTATGGAGGAAGAGACCGATTGAATAAGAGTAGCTCGGCCAGCCAGAGATAGTTGACGAGCTTTCCACCCTGCTAATCTGTTCTGGACCCGATCAAGAATGTGATGATACGTGCCTTTTGACATGCGATTATGTAACAAAGGGACGCCCAAATAGTTACCCAAATGAGAGGCAATAGGGATGCCACTGTCCAAACTCAGATCCTGTCCAGTTTGTCGAGGAACAGCTGGAGGAAAGAAAATCCTAGATTTCTGGAAATTAATTCGTTGGCCCGAGAATGCACAAAAGGATTGCATGATATGCTTAATGACCGACATCTGCCTAGTAGAAGCCTCCCCAAATAGAAACATATCATCCGCAATGGTGTTTTGTTTTAAAGTAAAGGTCTAATACCATATCATTATACATGAATTTTTTATTTGTACAGTATTACTCGAGATTGATTAAGCTCAACTAACACTTTGTAACGTATTTCATTTTCAATAATTCTATGAACCCCACTTTTTTTTTTTTTCATAAGATAACAGTTAATATATTAGTAATTAGATTATAACGCAGATTAACGCCTCTTCATATATTCAAACCTGAAACCTCACTCATCTTGGTAGCTAATGGCTCTCTCCACGACCGTTTGGACAATTGCCCAAGATCTATGAACCCTACTTAGCTATCGCAAATTTGTCCTATCTTAGAAAATATTCCTAATTTATCCCGAATGAGAGTGTGTGGTTAAAATTGAATTTGTATAGTGTGATATCCATGTATAGAATAAATTTGAAACACAAGATAATAATTTTGAATAATTTTTAAGTAATGAAATCTAGATTTGTAGTATTATTATTATTATTATTATTATTTCATTTTAGGCAATGAGGATTTGTCGTTTAGTCTCATAGTACCAATGTTCTATTTTTTTTTTTTTTTTTTGTTGGTAAATTACACTTTACCCTTTTATGATTTACTTATTTTCTTATCTTAACCATTAAAGTTTTTATCTCACTTTAGCTATTGACATTTTAAGTTTTTTCAATTTAACTCTAAAGCTAAATTCTATCTGAAATTAGATTAAAAATACCGTGTTGACTGTCATGTGGTGTAAAAAATATATTATTATATTTAGATGATTGTCACGTGGTATAAAAAATATATTATTATATTTAAATTTAAGTTTGGATGAGGTGTAGGATAAATATAATAATATATTTTACATCATGTAATTCCTAATGCGACATATTCTATCTAATTTTAAATAAAAAATAGTTTTAAAAGTAAATTGAAAAAAAAAAAACTTGAACAGTATATAATCAGAGTAAGAAAAAAAAAATTAAGAGCTAAAATGAAAAAAGGGTCAAACATAAATGAATAAAGTGTAATTTACCCTTTATGTTTATAATAATGTTTTAAAATGAATTAAATGAAATAATTAATTTTTTAATTTATAAACTATTATAAAATTATTATTTATAATATAAAATAGAATTAAAAATTATATAAAATTATTATTTATAATATAAATTTATCTTATATATAAATTTTATAATATAAAATTTCAACATCAACCACAAATTTTCATTCCAGAGACAAATTTATAATGGTTAAAGTAGAGTTCTTAAACTTAAACACCTCTCATTCTTGATTAAGCGTTTGTTATTCTTATCAATACATACGCCGAACCGGAAGACACTGCAAAACTTTACGAATACCAAGTGGCCACATGCCATTTTGTCCTTATTAGTATTTCGATTTGAGTCGTTCTAGAATCTACCTACCATCAATAATGGACTCTCTAGTCAACAATTTATCAACGACACCACACTTCTATTAAAAGACTTATTTTTGTTAAAAGTGAGTTTTTAGTTTTTTAATTTTTTTTGAATTATTTGTTTTTTTGTTTTTTATACATTTTTTTAAGAAACTAAAAAAATAAAAAAAATTAATTTTTAACCTACTCCTCAAAATAGATCTAATTATTGTTTTCTATGAAATTATTACTTGCCAAAATTTAAAATAGTTAAATTTGTTTATAATAATTTTTTTAAACAGCTAATATAAATTAAATTTTTTGAAATTAATAAAGATCAACGTATAGAATACAAAAAAAATAAAAGTTTGGCTAGGAATTTGTATCATTTCAAAAGGATTATATTCCAATTAAATTGACACATAGAACAGTCAACCAACGTATTTTCCATGTTATTTGTGTAGCAACATTGTGGCGTG